AACTACTAATAAAAGTGCTTTGGATAATATAGAGGAATTGGAAGTTCTTGTGATCAGCTCACAGAAAGGGAAAGGCATGTTGTTCCCAAAGGTAAACATTACATATTCATTATATATATATATATATATATATATATATGTATATGTATTCATTATGTGCAGAAAGTTAAGGTTTTAATGAAAAAATTTGCAGGGTGGTTGGGAAACTGATGAATCTATTACTGAGGCTGCTTCAAGAGAGACTCTGGAGGAAGCCGGTGTTAGGGGAATTGTTCAGGTTTATATCTTTCTCTCGTTCTGTTTCTTGAATTCTGCTTGAGGTTTATGTGGTTTTGGTAAGATTTGGAACGTTTAGAGTCTGTTTATGATGATTTATACGTGTGAGATCCTACATTGGTTAGAGAGGGGAATGGAGCATTCTTTAGAAGGGTGTGGAGATCTCTCCCTAATAGATGCGTTTTAGAATCTTGGGGGAAAACCCGGAAGGGAAAGTCTAAAGAGGACAATATCTGCTAGCGGTGGACTTTGGGTGATTCGTACATGTGAGATCCCACGTCGGTTGGAGAGGGGAACGAAACATTCTTTAGAAGGGTGTGGAGACCTCTTCTTAATAAATGCGTTTTAGAATCTTGTGGGGGAAACCCAGAAGGGAAAGTTCAAAGAGGACACTATCTGCTAGCGGTGGACTTGGGATGATTCGTACATGTGAGATCCCACGTCGGTTGGAGAGGGGAACGAAGCATTCTTTAGAAGGGTGTGGAGACCTCTCCCTAATAGATGCGTTTTAGAATCTTGTGGGGTAACCCGGAAGGGAAAGTCCAAAGAGGACAATATCTGCTAACGGTAGGCTTAGGCTTGGGCTGTTACAGGACATAAGAGTTTTGATTTAGAACATGAAATCGGACATGATTGGTTGGACCTTTTCGGGGTCTAGTTTTTTTTGGTTGACTTTTGAAGATTTCTTCTAGATCTAGCAGAAAAAACAGTCACCTTTTTCTTGTTCTTGTTTCTTGTTTCGGATCTTATGGTTTGATGGTCTGAATTCTCGACTCGAACTATGGTTTGCAGAGTGAATTAGGAAGTTGGAGTTTCAAGAGCAAAACCTATGACACTTTCTATGAAGGATACATGTTTCCATTGCTTGTCAAGGAGCAGCTCGAGTTTTGGCCCGAAAAGAATTTTCGACAACGAGTTTGGGTAAATACTCACTTCCCCAATCCATATACCGTCGCGAACTCCCTGTTAAAAACTCATCTAATACTTTTCGGTACTCGAATCTTTTACTTATTATAGATGAGCGCTCACGAAGCTCGGGAGGTTTGCCAGCATTGGTGGATGAAGGAAGCATTGGATGCATTGGTGGGACGGCTTTCGTCGCAAAAGAAGCAACAGATTGAAGAAGTCATGCCATGCTCGTTGAGCTAGCGACGATGGAGGTCGTGTTTCGTCTCTTGTCGTTACGGTTTTCTTGTAAATAAGAATTTGGTGAAAGGCTAGAGTTGCAGAGAAGAGAAGAAGAGTAGTGAAAGGGAATGGTTAATTAGGAAGATTATTAAAGTGAAGAAGAAAGGGAAGAGATTTTCTAGTTGTAGAATCATGCAGCTCAAGAACAGAACAAAAAATACACCGCAGGATGTCTGGTTGAGGTAATAGAAACCTTTTTTTCTCCGAAGAACAGAGATTTGATTCTTATCAGAATCTCTGTTTTTTTGTTTTTAGAGTTTCAAATCAGACTCTCCCACAAAGTGTAATGATTATTCTTCTTGAATTTTACAATCAAACAATATTCTTACCTATCATTTTATGAGATTGATAACATCTCGTTCTTCAGAAGTTAGAGTCTCGTATCGTTTTTCTTTAAGAAAAGCATCACGAACGTATCCCATGTTTTTTTTTTCGTGTCTTGTCATCTTGAATCTGTTCTAACATCTCTTCTACGATCGTAGTCTTTAGAGCAGATTCTCAATTTGCGCAAGGTGCCATTAGCATCCCTCTCTAGAGATGAAATTTCATGTTCGACTATGACCTTCCAAAGGTGTTGTCCCTATAGATAGGACATCATGTATGTTGGCCACATATTGTAGTGGTTGTTATTGAGTTTCTTGATTCCTCAAACGATCAGGAGATCATCCATCTTGTTGGCACAATCGCACACTTTTGAAGGCAGCGAATTTGCGATTGTGCGTCACTCACTTTCCAACGACAAGTGAGCTAAGCCAATTCGTTCTTGCGTCGCCTACGGCCAAGCGACGTATGCTTGAGCCTCTAGCCTCAGTTTTAATAGAAGGTTTTAGAGAACGAGAAAGAGACGTTATATAAGTAAGCAAAAGAGAAATAACAATGTGCGAAACTTTAAGCTTTTCACGTATTTCATTTTGCATTTTGAAAAAAAAAAAAAAAAACCTTCACATTTTGCATCACATAATCCAACCAACTTTAATTCCATTGTTTTCTTGTGTAACAATATGTCACGGGACATCTTTTTTATCGGTGCTTTTCTTTTCTTTCCTTTATTTATTTATTTATTTATTTGTTGAAAATAATTGAGCTCGTACTTAGCTCGAGAAGTTATGATTAAGGCATTAAAATTGTGAGGCTGGTGGCTTAGGTAACTGACCAAATGGACAGTATCTATGAGTTGTGGATTTGAACTATAAAAAATGGTATTAGAACCAAACACCAAGTTATGTGGGAGCGAAGACAGACACCAGCTATTGGACCATTATAAATGGTACTAGAGTTAGACACCAAATTATGTACAACCGAAGACGACCTCAACTATTAGATTATTATAAATGATATCAGAGTTAGACACCAATCTCTGTGCGAGCGAAAATGGGTCTCAACTATAAAACCATTACAAATGGTATTAGAGTTACACAGGTTGTATGTGAGCAAAGACGGCCCTCTGATCTCTATCTCAAACTCATAATGTGACAGAAATAAGATAAAGCTATGTTCCACCAAGCAAACCAAGCACGCAGCACCACGCACCATTCTACAAATTTCAGCCGCCATTCATAGCCTGAATCTCAACTTCACGGCCAATTACCACACCCCAAAAAATGAGCATGAGCCGCCCTCTCCTCCTCCTCCTCTCTCTCTCCCTTTTCCCTCTCCCGTCCCTCTCCGCCACCGACACCGTCATCTACGGCGGCTGCACCCAGCTCCAATACTCCCCAACCTCCTCCTACCACACAAATCTCAACTCCCTCCTAACCTCCCTCCTCAACTCCGCCACCTACACCTCCTACAACAACTACACCATCCAAGCCTCATCCCCACAGGACACCCTCTACGGTCTCTACCAGTGTCGCGGCGACCTCTCCATGCCCGATTGCGCCAATTGCATAGCCCACGCCCTCACCCAACTCGGGACCCTCTGCTCCAACAAATGCGGCGCCGCCCTCCAGCTGGATGGCTGCTACGTCAAGTACGACAACTCCACCTTCCTGGGAGTGGAGGACAAGACACTAGTGCTGAAGAATTGCGGCCCGTCAATTGGGTATGAGGGGGAAGCATTGGCGCAGCGGGACGCTGTGCTGGCGGCGCTAGTGGGGTCAAGTGGGGCGTACAGAGTGGGTGGGGCAGGGAACGTGCGTGGCGTGGCGCAGTGCGTGGGGGATTTGAGTGGGAGCGAGTGTCAGGAGTGCGTGGGCGAGGCAATTGGGCTGGTGAAGAGCGTGTGTGCGATGGGGGGTTATGGGGATATGTTCTTGGGGAAGTGCTATGTGAGATACAACACTCATGGACCTCCTCCTCCGGTGTTGGCTGACAATCATAATGGTAACCCAATTTCTTTCATTTTGTTTGAGTTCTTTATCAACAATGGTGAATTGGTTTGTTTGATTCGAACAGATAAATCTAATGACGACGACGGGGAGAAGACGTTCGCCATAATCGTTGGACTTTTAGCTGGAATTGCTCTTCTTATTATTTTTCTTGTATTCATACGAAAAGTGTTTGAACGATCTGGTAAGGAAATTCACTCATAATTCCGATCATAATTCTTTTTCTACGCGTTTTTTTTTCCACTCACGTGCTTCTTAAGAACGTCGTTAAGAAGTCACTCTATCGTAATTTTTTAATTTCTATGATTATCTATTGATAAGAAAAGTGTATAAAGCTCTTATTCTTTTAGTTTAAGGTTTTTAATTTTGTTCAATGTTGGATGATAATGACATCAGAATTTTATATAAATAAATAATATTATTGTTTCTAGATTAATGCTAACAATTTGTTGGTATAAGATGTAGTTTGAATCCATCGAACAAAAGAGTGGAATTATATTAGTAGTGGGCTACAAATGATATCAAAGCCAGACACCGGGCGGTGTGTTAGCGATAAGGTTGTGCAGGAGATGGTTTCAAAGACAGACACCAAGAGATGTATCAGCTAGAACGTTGTGCTCTCAAGGATGTGGAAACCTCTATTAGTAGTGGGTTTGAACAAAGTTAGACATTGAGTAGTATCCCAGTGTGCTAGTAAGGACGTTGGGCTCCCAAAGATGTGGAAAGCTCAGTTAGTGGTGGGCTTGTTGGGTTGTCATTTCGGAGTGCTAGTAAGAACGTTGGACTCCCAAAAATGTGGAAACCTCAATTGGTGGTGGGCTTGGGCGGTTAAATATTTTAGCTCCGATCGAGCTACGAGTACGAGTAGGTAGGCGGCTAGGGGGGAGGGGCGGTTAGGCTGCCTTTTCAATCAATTTCAGGCCAACCCCTAATTACTAAACCAGCCTTGGTCTCGAATCGAGTTGGGGTGTCATTTCATTCTCGTAACGGGAGTGGGTACACCGCAAGAAAATAATAAATATAATTAAAAAAAAGACCATGCTCGTGTTAGCTTATGGGAATAGTTTATAATTAACAGTATTTTACTCGGGTTTAAAATTCCATTTGGATTTTGAGAAAAAAAAAAAAAAAAGAGAAAAGAAAAATCCAATCTAAACAAAGAACAAATCAAATGCTTTCAAATTTCATTGCCCCTCAATTCCCCAATCATCATGAACACATCGGCTCTTCAACTATGGTCTCCAACAATGGCTTCCTCAGCCTGCACATAGTCCTCCGATGAGCCAATTCCGGCACCGGCGAAAACCTCTCCACCTCATCATCCATTTTCAACTTCATCTCCGACTCCTCTGCTTCCACCTTCGGGCAAACACAAACATTAGATTCCCCACCGCCGACGATCCGCCGCTTCTTCCTGTCGGAGACTCGCTCGGCAGCGAGAAGCAGCACTCCCATATCCGTCACTGACACCACCGAATTCACCTTCTTCATCGGAAACATAACGTACAAATTCCCCATCTCCAGATCCTCGTCCGCCATCAGAGCCGAAAATCTCCGGCCAACACGAACCGATTGAGAATTGACGACGAAGAAACTGGGCATCTCGAACATCAGCTCCGCCGCCTTGACCGGTTCGTGAAACTGCCGAACTTCCCCACTTGGGAAAACGACCGTCGTCGCCGGAAAACTTGAGGATTTCCGGCCGATTGGAGTGGAAAGTGTACAAGAAACGTAATTGCCCATGAATCCCAAATGGATAAATCAAGAAATGTAGTGAAGAAGATGATGAAATTTAATTGAATTAGAAGCAAACAATTTAATTTAATTATATAATGAATGGGTTTAGATGATTGATCTTCAAAGAAAGTTAAGCACAGTTGGCTGTTCCGCATAATTATTGCTCAATCCGCGTCGAACAACACTAATTATTCAGATATTTTTGTTTCTTTTTTTATTTTAGTTTACCAATTTGTTGTAACTATATTTTTCTTGTTATATACATCTCATATGTTTGTTCCAAAAATTATTTTTAAAATATTTTTATGGACATAAATATATAAAAAAAAAAAAAAAAAAAAAAAAAAAAAAAAAAAAAAA